GAGGGGGGCCACCATCGAAGAAAAGGAAGGACTCCAAGTGAGACTAAGCCTGCTCCGATCATTTGGGGGTCGAGCTTTTTAGCGGAGGCGCGGACTTTGCTTAGAGAAAAAAGAAAAATAAAAAAGCCCCATCTCCTGGAGTGGCAGGACCAGGCCGTCTCACTTCCATACACTAGAGGACGTAAGAGCCTAGCAAGTGCCACTCACTAATTCTCAGAGGAGAATAGTGACGGCTGGGCTACTGCATGCTGAGATTGTCCGTCAATCACCATGGTGGACTATCAGACTGATCACTCCAACGGCTTTTTCGATCCCTGTCACTGGAGTGGCTCCCTTCTCTTACCAAGCCAAGTCAGATCTGCTACCTAAGTAAGTAATTGCTATCACCGTGATGCTCTGGCTCAAGACCCGGCGTTGTCCGGCTCTTCTTGAGTACTACTGCCAGCTACTAGTAGCTCTGTCTCCGTGGTCGCTGGCCTTGTTTAGCCCTTGCAGCCGACCCTCCTTCCAATGACCTTGACAACCGAGCCGGTGCCGAAAATAAATTCAAGATAGCAGCTAGGCTGGAACGACCTTCCCTAATTCCTCCCAACTAGTAGCTAGTATGCGTCCTACTACTAGATTCCACTGGGTGAGATCTCGGCTTACTTGTGGTCTCTCACATTATGGACTGGTGCAAATGTCTGAAGGTCTACGGCACCTCTAACTTTCAGACTATGGAATTACTGCTGTAACAGCGTGCACACCAAAAAAATTAAGTGGACTATCACGTATCCATCCTACATTACTGCTACTGTCTTTGTAGCGATGTATGGACGGCGGTGGGGACCCCAAAATGGTGGTGATGATACTTCAGTCAAGGAATTTTTTAAATGGCATGGCGACGACAAATCCAAAATGTTATTGTGGGTTGTTACCCAGAACAAAGCTTAGCAACAGCAACAGTCTATGTAGGTACAACAGGTACAACAGGTACAACAGGATCACAGAGTGCGACAGTGTCAGGATCGCGGTGTGCTTTGCAATGAGCTCCTAAGTGACGCGAGACAAAAGGGATCCCAAACGGGGCTGCGGCGCGCATGCCCCGTAGCTCGGGTGGGCATGGTTTACGCATTCTTGGCTCTGATAGGGGAAGACTCGTCTGCGCCAGGTAAGAACGAGGAAGAGAACGACATGCCAAGTCCTGCGAGCTTCCTAGACTAGATCCCCATAATTACTGGTTTCTGATGTCCTCGACACCCTCAAGGACGCTCTCACCCGCCACAAGGCGTCGACAGGGCGGACTTCCGCATGCGGATACTTTCCCTTCATGTATACCCAATTATACTCCCCCGTTCCCACCAGATCCTCCGTTTCACCCAGCTACAGTCGGGTCCTTGTTCATTCAACGCCTCCGTAACTGTCTCGCTCTTTAACCAAAAGGTATTCTGCTGCTTTTCTTCTAGGCTATACCATGTTTCCGAGGAGGCGACATTCCCGCGCTAAGCTGGGAATTACTTGCATGCCTGGCAATAAGTGGGTGTAACCATGTCACGGCGCTCCCAGCGTACTGGATCTGGGACTCACCAAGGCGACCATGCAGAAGAAAACGCCTTGGTCTCTTGTTCTAGTCTCCGGATCTCAAAGCAGGCCGGACATTTTTCTGTCCCGTACCCAGTCACAAATTGAGCCTGAGACGGAGCATCCCTACTACCCTCTTGATTGATGAGCACCGCAAATACCGTTTCGTGCTGGGTGCATTGATGAACTAACCAACCAGCTTCCATGGAATGGCCCTCCTTTTCTATCACTGCAGCGTTAAAGAGATTTCTGCCGTCCTCAAATCAGGTCTCTGCACGCATGAGCAGAGATCCTCACTACGTTTTACAGTCCCCAATACTCCGTAGTACTGCGGTCCAAGACCGGCAAGGCATGTCCTAGGTACAAGCTGCATGTTGGTGCTAACACATCGTTGTGGGGATTTGGTTCCAGTTGACTACATGTGCCTTTGCCTAAAGCAAAAAGCAATGATGTTACATTGCAGACAGCTTGCATGATTAATTCTGGCACGTATAGGCCGGAATAGTAAGAGCCAGCTTAGCGGAATTTCTTCATCTCGAGTCCGTGTGGACGGTAAGAGGGGATGGGATGGTGTGCTGGCCTGGCGGACGATCTGTTTCGGGCCAGCTCAGCTCGTGCCATGCTCCCTGGATAGTACTACTCATTACTAGCACTATGGGCCGTCAATACCAAACGATAAACGAATCATCGGCTTGCTTTCTAGTGTCTAGAGTCCAAATTGCTTTTCTTGGGACATGATCGGGTGCATTAGCCAGCTGTCTCGCGCATGACAGACAGGACCCAAGGCCGTGGTCGTGTCATCGTTGCAGAGGCCAAAGGTAAGACTTTGGGGGGGAAGGAGAGACCTTTTTGGACCGGAGAGTTTGGTTTCGGGCGTCCCGGATTACTATCCCCAGCAGCCATTCATGCCCGGGCATCTCTAAGAAATTGAACGCTTACGCTGCAGATCTTGCCTCCCCCAGGAATATGAAGACCAGTGTAAGAGAAGTCTCTACCTGGATGGTAAAACCCTTCCTTCTTGACAGCGTTCTGTCATCATGGTAAATTCTTCCTGCTGCGTACTTTTGATTTGGTCCCCTACAATCGAAAAGGGCCAGCTCAAAACTCTCACCATGTTTCATTTTTATAATGCAATACTATTTTTTTCAGGCTTGGATCTTCGAGCCCTTGGACTCAATGCCATCAACCTTTCTCTATTCTGCATATATACAAAGTTCATATCCTCCTGGGGATAGTAGCATCAGGGCAATGGGTGGCTCCATTATACTGGGTGGACTGGTTGGAGGACGAGAGACGGCACTAAGTAAGCAACAGATTGAACTCCAGCGTCGCCCAGGCGTCGAATCGCAGCGAGTCCCGAACAGGCAAGAGGCATGACTGGCCAGCAAGTCAATAATTTGTCCCCATTTTCCCAATCCCCAATTCCCAATTCCCAATTTCCACCTCTTTTCCAGCCATGGAAGGATCCGCCAGATGAACTTCTCCACCCCCAAACTCATCCTTCATTTGATGCGCTCGTCCAGGCTAAGCCCCGTCCTGGCAACCGTGCCTTTTCCCTGGCTTTCTTCGTCCATGGCCCTGGGACGGCTATCTATTCATCTCTCTCTGCCAACGAGATCTGTCTGTCCCTTCCCCAAGATCTATCGTGGCTGGGCCCTCTTTCATCCTCTCTGTTCTCAACGCCTCCCAGAGAGTTGTGGCTGACCAACAACACCCATCTTGTGAAGTCGATATGCGTGGCTGCATGCCTCCCACTTTGCCAGGCAACAAATTCCCCTCCTCCCGTATCCACCGGGATGCAGGAGCTCCCAGCTAGTTGCATTTGGTTTTCCTGCCAATTACCGCAGGAATCTTGCTCTGATGTTCGGGGAACCTCGGGTTAGATGATACTAACGCAAGAAAAAGGCTCACTTCGACCATGTGAATGAATCCAGACTCAATTTACCCCGCCATCATCCCGATGATAGGACACCTGCCTGTGGCCGGTACGCTCTAAAATAGATCTAGCGAATGCCGCTAATACGCGGTCTGCATCTAGATACGCACGCCCGAACTTGATCGTTCTCACCGGAGCACGACGATGAGATGCACCTCTCACTATAGTGCAGTGGGCCAAAACGGTGATGGGCAAGGACACACAGCAGGAGACGCTGTCACAGGTTAATTAGCCTCCTCCCCTCTTGCGTCTCGTTCACTTTCCTCCTCCGTGGATCCCACAGGAGCGGCATCCTGGTCTATGATCAGTTGGGCTCTCGGACCATAACAGGGATCCTAGGATACATACAAGGTTTCTGGGACAGAGTCGTCCAGTTTATTACATACCTTTACGTATCTCCTCGCTAGAACATATTGGGGGAGAGGGGGTGGCTACATATCAACAATTGAGTACGGTGCTAGTTAGGTGTGGATTTGAGGAGATTCTGTAAACAACGTTCATCATTCACTTGGCATCCTAGATTACTGACTTGTACCGAAACTTAGGCTTTCAAAGCACAACAAGACGCACATCTTCCTATAAGCGCCCAAACGTTTGGCTCACGGCCATCTCAAGTCGCGAGAGCCCTCTGCACAGAGGCTATATTGGCCTCCATAGGCTGCACCTTGTCGGTCCTATACACTAGTGTGAGATAACAGCCAGGGAAGTGGGTAAAACTCCAAGGACCAAACCCACCTAGTCGTGATGCGAATATCCGTCTGAATCCTAGCGATCCCTTCCTGGTGGATCAGCGTATGGGCGTACCCGATAATTTGGGATACCTGATCCCACGATCCCTCTTTAAGCCAAATATATTAGCTTTGCAGTAGCAAACGTGGGATGACATATGATCCCCGAATCAGAACGCTACATGGAAGTCATACACCGCGCTCCATGCAGAGTTTGAGCTCATAATCCCGACGCAAAATTCGATCTAGCATAAAGGGGATTTGAATGAGCGGGAAACATACCAACAATAGTTCCAGTGGCGTGCATCTGAAACTTGAGACCAGAGTTCTGCATCAGACGCTGGATATCCGCGACCTGCTTCGAGAAGGATGCGCTTTGAGAGCCGATCTAAGCCACGGGTGTTAGAGCTTGGTATCGACCGATCCATGTTCTGCCCTCGTTAAGCTAATTTAGAACACAAGGTGACAACATACTGGACTAAGAGAGAAGTCTGCAGTGCAGTTCTCTGGAGTCTTCAAGGTAGCCATTTGGACGATGCTTGTTACGATACCTGGCTGCAGCAATAACTCGTCGTTGTCTGGTTAGGGTCTACTAGCTACAAACTCCCTAAGTGCCGCATGCCCTTTATTTACTATGTGAGACGTTGCTAATCATGATGACGTTCAATTAGACTAGAACTATACCGAACTATGTTATGCGAGGCACATGCCTATGAGCTCATTACTATGAAAGCGCAACTCCCCCTCGAGATTAGAGTTTCGGTGGCTTCACCTTATCAGCCCAGGTAGTATGTCTCATCAACGGTTCTCCCGCGCCGCTGGGCTGGCTCGCTTCCACGAACATAAACATCCTCGAACAATACGTCCGAAGTTAAGGGTGGTTCTGCCATCTTCTCCGCTTCTTGAGCTTCACGGTCAACTTTGCGTCGGATCTCCTTATCCATCGTCTTCGCCTCATCGTCGCTGAACACGCCCCATTCAATCAACTTTTCTCGATAAGTCGTGATGGGATCATGCGCCCGCTCGGCCTGCACCTCGTCTTTGGTCCGGTACGCCGTCCCCGGATCAGATACCGAGTGTCCCGCATACCGGTATGTTTGGAATTCATACAGCAAAGGTCCGTTCCCGCCCAACACGTAGTCTTTGCCGTACGTCATTGCAGCTATCACCGCCAGAACATCCATTCCGTTGATGCGGAGACCTGGAATGTAGTATCCTCGTTTGTAGTATTCGGTCATGGCGGAAGCGCGCTCCACGGACGTGCCCATTCCGTATTTATTGTCTGCAACAAGGCACGAAATTAGAAACTGAGATCCAGGGTGTTCCAACACAACACAAGAACAACCATGAAAAACAAAATCAGAATAAAGAATATCATGCGAACTCACTCTCACAACCAAAAATAACCGGCAACTCCCACAACTTAGCCATGTTATACGCCTCATGTACCTGACCCTGATTCGCAGCCCCATCCCCATACAGATTCACCGTCACCTTCTTGGTATCATCATACTGCTGCGCGAACGCAATCCCCGTCCCAAGGGGCACATTCGACCCCACAATGCCATTCCCACCAAAGAAATTCTTAGTGAACATATGCACCGAACCACCCTTCCCATGACAAATACCGTCTCGACGACCAAGTAGCTCTCCAATGATAGATTTGACACTCCCACCCCGCATCAACGTGAATCCGTGGGCGCGGTACGCAGTAATAACCTTATCTTCGGGGCTGATGCCGTGTTCCACCCCCACCGCGACGGCCTCTTGGCCTGTGGAGAGGTGGCAAAAGCCACGGACCTTTTGTTCCTTGTATAACTTGTCGGCTGCAAGTTCCAGGCGTCTGGGAAAGTTAATTTGGGGGTCCAGAACGATTTTGATTGGAAGGGAGGGGAGGGGGAATGAGAGAGAGACCTTATTAGCGACATGTCATGGTAGAGTTGTTTAAGTTGGCCTTTGGTGGTTTCTAGGCTGTAGGGAGGTGGATCAAGGTTGTATGTTTCGAAGCTGTCGTCTGCTATGGGGACACTGAAGGGTTTGGTATCCTCCTATAGGGGAGGGGTTAGTTCTGTTGTATCCTGGCATAGGGGTGAACTGGGCATGGGGCTGAGCAACGCACTGTAGGGAGATCTGAGATGTTCGAGACATGGGCCATGCACCGCCGGTATGGCAGGCCTGGACGTGTCCAGCGGGGAGGTCCCTTGGGTTTCAAGGATCTCGTGAGCATGGTTCCTGTGATCTGGGGCTCGTGGTGGCGGAGTGTGTGAGGCGTGCGCTCTTCGGCGGGCTTTCTGGGAGGAGGGAATGGGGTTGAATTCAACTTGAGATTCTTGATGAGTAGAGGATAGTAGAGGTTATCCTGCCACCGCTGGTAGTGCTTGTAAGAATGGAAGAGTTCATCATTCTAGATAGGTGGATGGGTTGGTGCACCCCCGAGTCCTTGTAGTGACGCAATACTGAACTCAATCGGTAGCATGGGTAAGTTGAACAAGCATGGATGGCTGGTCTGCCAATGAGAGTCGGCCATTATGTGTCAAATGGCCAAGCTGCATTCACGGTTCCTTTTCCTGCTCTTCCGCTGGTTCGTTCCCCTGTTGTTCTGGCTCTCTGTTTAGCTGAGATTTGGTTGCTATGCAGTCTCTGCTAGTAGCGCAGCAAAATCATGGGCTTTAGGGCTGGTACAGGCCGGGTAGGCCATGGTAGCTGGTTGGTATCTTTTCGGTATTAATAGAGGGCTTCTCGGGTCCTGTTGAACGACAACAGAAGGAAATTTCAAATCCGTCAGAAACCGCGTGCGAAGTATAAACCAGAAAGTAATATGGCGGAGTATGAGCAACAGCCATGTGGTTGCCTTGTTGCCTGAATGCACGGACCAGGCGATGGCGGGCTTGACGCGTGACGCGAATTGGCTGACTGAGGAATCAATCCATTAACGCGGTCCGCATTGATCTAATCGGCCACGAGCTTGCGTCCGAGGCCATCGACTCGTGCAACGCCTATGGCTCTCCGCAGACTCACCTACGACACTGACCATTCTGAGTTGCGATGAGACAAGGTGAGAGTACGGGTATAACCGGCACCACGACTAGTCAGGGACAATTTCAGACACCAGACAAGCCTCCTAGAGTACGTCCGGCGACAGAGACCAACGCGGCCAAGGCAGCATTAGCCAGGACAGAGCTCCCTGCGTCCTCTGCATCGACGTCGAGATCCTGGAAGAGAAGCTCTTTCCCCGGTCTGCCGGATCAGCCGACACTTACGCAGATTGACTTCGTCACGCCAAAGTCCCAGTACACGGGGTCTGATGGCGATGACGATGATCTCGACTACATCGACAGCAAATCACGCAGCAGGCGACGGGCAGATCCTGAGGTGATTCAAATTGATGATGATTCCGATAATGACGCCGATTATCAACCGCCATCGCACTTGAAGCCGAAGCCGGCTGACATTCGTGGAGTCAAGTTCGAACGAGGTGCAAAGAATGCCGTCCCCAAGCCGAAAAAGAGGAGCTCCCAAGGTGGCGGCGACTTCAAGCAGAAGCGCAGAAAAAGCGGCGAGGGCAGTAATATCAGCAAGAAAGACAAGGAAAAGGCGAAAGGACATAAGACCCTCACTCAAATGGACTACGTGCGACGTTATCTGAAGATCGAACCGGACGATGATGTGAAATTGGACTATACTTACATTACTCCTAAAAAGAGCGATGGTCAGGCTAGCCAGCAAATGCACTCTCGGGATTCTGAGAGTTACCAACAACAGGATGATCGTCAATTCAAAGCGAATGGGCGCGAGGCACAGAAAATCAAGGATGAAGAAGGTGCGACGCTGACAACGGAAGCTACGAATGATCGGGAAGCGACCGAAGCTCCAGTGACACCAAAGAAACGCTTCAAACAGGAGATACCCTCGTCCCAGTCTCCCGAGAGTCCTGGTATTGCAATAATTACATCTTCTCAGTTCCACGGCGCCACTCATTCTCCCCCAAAGCATGTAGCTGCCGGCATTCCCGATCGGCATATCAAGGAAGAATCACCTGCGATGCATCGTATCAAAGAAGAACCTCACCAAGATTCAGAGCCAATGTTGCTATTTCCTAACGATATATTGCCGGAATCCGAGAATCTAGACTCGCCGATTTCCCGTCGAGAAGGTACACCTCATCAAACATCGGCCGATCAAGCAGAGACACCCACGAAACCAGCTCGTCTACATAACAGTCCTGGGCTTCTAGTCTCCAAAGAAGGAGCGATGCCTTCACAGAGGACGGTAATATACGAGACAGATGCGGAGAGCGACTACGGCGACCTTGAAGACGATTTACCCGACGCTCCTGCTTCTCCCAAAAGCCCAGAGCCCGTCGAAGGAGACCCTGATGCAACTGATGACCTTGACTTTGATCCCTCGAAAGACGATTCGCAAGACCAAGATCTTCCGCCCATGGATTTATCCGGACTGGACGTTGAAACAGAACTCCCGCTTCCGGAACCAAACCCCACCTCCGAAGCATCGATATATTACCAAAGGCTGCAGCCAGCTACCCAATTTCCCCTTGGTACAATCCCGACGTTAAGCTCCCAGAAATTGGCTGAGCTGTTTCCAGAAGATTCAAATGACCAGCAAACCCTCCGGACCATGTCACCCCTGCCGTCATCTCCTAGAATGGACAGTCGTGCAATGTCCAAACCTGGCATACCAGCAGTTAGCCAGACCCAGGCACAAAATGCCGCCAAGGCTCCAATGGAGATGGTCCCGGAATCCTCACCTATCGCGCGGCAAGGAAACGGCATCCGAGCAAAGGAGTTCATTCCCCCTGAGCCCCTTGCGCGAAGGGACGTGGTACAAGTGGAGTCTTCACAGCCAGCAGACCGACTCCACAAGAAGAATCAGGAGGAAAGTTCCGGTCCTCGTGGAATTCTGACTGGCAGCCAGATCCTCACATCAAGTGTGATGGAAAGCGTGCCACTTCCGGCCTTCTTAATGGATAGCCAAGATAGCGTTGGAGAACCCTACAGCTTACCAGACTCGTAGACTCTACATGATGGGACAGCCCGATATATCACGACACTAATGAGAAACGGCATCGAAATACCCCATGAGACTAGATCATATATAGCAAACAATCATATATTATATCCCTCGCTCACAAGTGTTTCAAGTCCCTAGTTGTAGTAGTTCTTCACCACGTGGGAGGTGTCAGTGAGTAGGCGGTCGGGCCGTCGTAGCCCCGGGAACGAAACCGCCCAGTTGACTGACCAGAACATCCTCCGCATCCCTCATTCCAATCCACGATATGCCCTCCAACTTCATCTGATATCCCTCTCTGATTCTGTCCAACTCTCCCGCAGTCATGGATGTAGCCTACGACCACATCCAGGAGGAGATCTTCTCCTCCAACGACCCCGCCAAGAAAGAAAACAACAGCAAGAACAATAACAACCCCTCCGATGCACCCGCCACCAACTCAGACCGCCCCAACGTCGACCTTAACGCCGAACTGCAGGAAACCTTCCGCGCTTTCTCCGCAAGCCCCTGGGGTGCACGCATCGGTGGACTCTGGGACAATGTCCGCAAACAAGGCGAAAGCTATTACGAAGGCGCTCGCCAGGAATACGCCGCCGCCAGCGAGGAAGCCGCCAAGGGGTTCTCGGATCTGAAGAGTAGTATCGTCGGGCGCACGCGGGGGTTGTCCCTGAGCACGGCTTTCAACAATAACATCATCGGCGCTGGCACCAGTACTACAACTGAGCAGGAGACGGATACATCGTCATCTACGCCTAAGAATGAGACCGGAGATAAGGAGAAGGCTGGACCTTCTGCCAGCTCGGATAACAATAATGAGGGGTTCCTCTCGCGGTTCAAGGCCGAGGCCGCCCGCCGACTCAAAGAGATCGAGAAGGCTGAGGAAGCAGCCGACGAAGCTATCCTGCGCTTTGGGATGAACATCGGACAGAAGTTGAAGGATGCGGTCAGCATTGTGCCGCCGTCTACGGACTCGTCGTCGGACAAGCTTCTATTTGAGAGTAAGGATGCAGACGGGAAGCGGGTTATTCATGCTACGCGGTTCGAGGCACAGCTTCATGTCATTCATTCGAACTTGGAGAGTTTCTCGAAAGATCCTGTGAGTGAGGAGTGGTCTACTTTCAATCAGTCTTTCAACGTGGACAATAAGACGGATGCTATTGCCGCCGACTTGGAGAAGTATCCGGAGCTGCGCTCCGCTATGGAGAAGCTTGTCCCGGAGAAGGTGGAATACGCGGTCTTCTGGTGTCGTTACTACTTCTTGCGTTTGGTTATTGAGACCGAGGAGCAGAAGCGGAAGGAGCTTCTCAAGGGTATGCTTTTCTCTTTTTCCTCATCTCCCCTCTACCGTATATATACCATGGCTCTTATCTCTAACTTGCCTTATAGATGTCAACGTCGACGAGGAAGAAGTCAAGTGGGACGATGATTCCGATGACGACACCGACTCTCCCTCTACGCCTCAAGTCCAGCAATCTACCGCAACCGCCAAGGCTACCACTGCCACCCCGACTGCCACTGCTACCGAGAAGGATACCCTAAAGCCCACGGAACCCCGCCGGTCCAACGACCAACAGTCCCAGCCCGACAGCGAATCCAGCTACGACCTTGTCAGCGGTGCGACCAGCCGCACTCCTGCCAGCCCCAAGGAGAAGGCCAAGGATGAGGAAAGTGATGACGACTGGGAGTGAATGATGGGATGATTGCTTGGAGTAAAGCACAGATTTTGACTGCGTCGTATAGTTGCTAGAGATTCTCCAAATTATTGACTGACCACTGGCTGGTCCGAAAGAGAGAAAGGATTATTGTTCCCCTTACATATGAGTTGATCGCGGTGCGAGGAGTTGCGGTGTCGTTTGTTTGATATCTTCAGGCGTTAGGATTGCCACTCTATTCCTTCTTCTTTTCTAGTATCGTCGTTCATTCCACTTTTTCCATCCCCCCTACGCGATACGTTCTTGGTATTAGCAGTTGCGTGTTGCCTTGGCTTTCTTGTTTTATTTTCTCCCCTGACAGTGCCAAATACGCCTGCCTCCCCCTTTTTCTCTATTGATATATGGCCTGAGCGTTTCTGAAAGATATTCCTGTTTTGGGACTAGATTGCAGAACGTGTAATCTATTGATATGCAAGTCTATTCACAAGGAGTGTTCATAATTTTCTCATGTACAAGCCTTTTATATCGCATCGGTATCGTAGTCGTAACGTTCGTCATTTGCTTGATCTTGATGTTGATATTCATATCGATAATGTGGCCAACCCACCTATCCTTCCGACGGGCCATCAGCGTCAGCATCCACGCCTTCCTCAACAGGACCCGGCGTGGACTTCCTAGACAGAGGAGACCCTCCCCTCGACCTCTCACTAGCAAGAACAGCCGATGACGGCCCTCCGCGCCGAGCACCACGGGATTTCAAATCCGACGACTGTACAGAGGCGGAGCGTCCGTACCGTAGCGGTGTCTCGGGGGTGTTTTCTCGGGACCGTAGATGGAATCCTCTGGTTCTACTATCGCCAGGCGAGTAGGGCATTTCGCTTGTCTCGCGCGAGAATCTGAGCGGAGTGCCCTCCGAGGTCCATGCGTATTGATAGTCCTCGCCTCTTCGCTTGACGGGGCTCTCGTCATACGGGTCCCAGCCGACTCTGCGTCTTGCGTCAGCACGGAGCCGTTGGCGGTGTTGTTCGTCGCCTCCGGCGCCTGTGGTTGAGGATTCCTCGAGGAAGAAGTTGAGAAGCTCGTCGCTGATGGATAGGTGGGATTGCTGCTGGAATTGTTGGAGGGAGGTGAGGCGGAGGAGGGTCTCCAGGAGGGATAGAGATGTGCGGATGTTATTAAAGTGGGGGTTTGAGACGGTGGCTGTGGATATGCGCTGCGTTGAAGAAGGGGTGCTGCGGCGAGACGGCGTTGTTGTGTTGTCGTGGAGAGAAAGCTTCGCCATCCTTTCGGGGTCGATGGATCCTGCTCTGGATGGTGAGGTGCGGTCCTCTTCTGCTTCGGATTCGGAGTCGGATGATTCTTCTTCGTTGTAAACTTCGAATGCAATCCATTCGGGGTCGAGGTCTTTGGGGAGTCGCCATTCCTCGGGGATGGAGCTTTTATGGAACCTAGGTAGTCCGGGGTTGGTGTTTGCCTCGTTGAGTTGGGCGTCTAGCTGGGCTTGAATCTCGTCGATTTCCTCCTCGTCGTCCTCTTGGGGATCCTCGGGGGTAATGCCGGACAAGCTTTCGTCCCGTTCGACCATCCGTCGGGGTGGGATGGCATTGATGTCTCTCTTCAGGAGGAGAACGGGGTTGTTGGTCTCTCCCTCAGTGTTTATGTTTAAAATCTTGCCGGTGTCTGCATAAAAGATCTTTGAAATCTCGTGGATTGGAAGAATTTCGCGTAGTCCTGCGGTGCTGACACCTTCGTAGCCGTGAGGTTGCGGTTCACTTTCGTCAAACGAGTGAACTCTGCCATCATCCAAATCTTCAATGATCAACACCTGGTAGGCAAATTCGTCTATCCTTGCTTCAGCAGGAAGTTTGAAGTGTGGTGTTTCGGACTGAGGAATTGCAGCTAGGTCCATAGGCACCCTGCGGAGCTTCAAACGCGCCTTGTGCATAACTTCCTTCCAGGTTGCTTCGCGAATACCTTCTTCATCATGCGGCCGAAGGTGACTGGAGAAGAGCATGTACATAGACAGAGTGAATGTAGGGCCGATTTGGACAGCTTGAGACGGGTACATAGAGTATTGCGTATCGCCAGCAGTCAGGAAGGTGCTTGCTTGCAGCAGTCGGGATGGAGACACACTCGATGGCAGGTTTGTTGATAGCTTAGCACCCGACGTCGTGATAGCCAAGTTCATCAGCGGTACTGCATCCTCGATACGAACAAGAAGTCTTTTGATATCTTTGATGATAAGCTTGATTTCCGCCTTGTGCTGGGAACGGTCTCTTTTGGGGTTTGCCCCTCTAAGATACAGTTCTTCAGATGCAGCAGTCTTTGCTAGCCGCTGTCCGAGGGACTGAATATCCCAGCGAAGAGATTTTGTGAGAAATACGGCTGACTCTAGCGACGTATTGCCTCTGGCAGCACTAGAATGTGTTAAATTTCAAGCGTTGTCAGAATCAGCCCATAAATGAATCCACTTACATGAGTTCAATCATGTCAATAGCGGGCGAAATGACCTGTATCTTGCTTTCCAGTCGGTGCTGGAGCGTGAGTAGCTCTTCCCTCACCTCACCATCATCAACGTTCTAAGGGGATTGAAACGCATATGGTCAGCTATGATCTTCTGCGAAATTCCGTAGAAGCAGACCAATCTTGACTTACTTTGAGTAAGCGAGACGATTGACTGATGGCATATTTTGCAGTGATAGCTATGCCTGAGCTGATTACAGAGTTAGAAAATGCTGTAACAGATAAAGTAGGTAAGATAGAGGAGCTGATCCTTACCGAATGGCATAGTTCATCGCCTGCTGCGTGAGCTAATGCACGATTAGACTCAGGACATTAAGAATGGGGCTATAAGCACGAACACACCCTCGTAAGAAAAGCATCCATTGTGCCTAGAATTCAGGCCTCCCTCAGTCTTTTCCTCTGGGTGATTCTGCTGAGGGGAATGTACCCAGCAAGATGGAGCTTGGTGACTGCTGGTGGGATCTAGTAATAGTAGTGATCTGTAGCGCCCCTGAGGCGGTTTGCAGAGCTTATCGATAACGGGCCACCCACTGTGGCTGCCACCAGCAACGGGGTTCCCAACATATAGATAAAAAAGGGCGTAATTAAGCAGACCTTCCACACTTTTCTCTCTCACACACGACCCGTTTCAGACCCGCGAGGTCATTATTGGAGTCATTCTTCGCAGCGGAGAAACAGTACGAGACAAACAATGCAAAACACAACACGTGCTGGTTCCTTGACGCGCCAGACGCCACAGCCGCGGGGGCGGGGAGGCGCAGCTGAGTCAGCGGGGTGCAAAATCAACTCAAAGGCGGACAAGAGAAAATGAGAGCCTCCGCAAAGAAAAACGCCCCTCACTTGCCGCTGCGTTGCTCTCTGCCTTTCATTGTTCGCTCTCCTCTTCTTCTTCTTCCTCCCCCCCACCTTCTTATTCTTCTTCTTTTAGACCAGTCCCTTTTTTATATATCGGGGACTTTGCTTGGTGTTTGTCTTGTTGTCGTTCTCTTAGCGTCTTCCCCACATACACCATGGCCGACCAGACCCCCGATTCCTGGGAGGATGAGCTCTCCAGACAGACTGAGGGCGTTCGTTTGAACCCCAACGCACAAGGTCGCCCTCAGCCCCAGGCTCCTTCTTTCCACCCTGGTGCTGCCACTTTCACCCCCGGTGCTGCTTCCTTCGTTCCTGGACAGACCTACCAGCCCTACGGTGGCGGTTACCCGCAGTATGGCCAGTACGGCCAGCAGGCCTACGGTGGATACCCTTATGACCAGCAACAGCAGGCCTACGCTCAATACGGCGCCTACGCTCAACAGCCTGGTGGCTTTAACAACAACCAGGTCTACAACCAGCAGTACGGTGGCTACCAGCAGCAGCAGCAGCAGCAGCCCCGTCAAGCTGCCGCCGCCCCCGCTGCCGCCCAGCCCGCTCAGCCCGCCCCGAAGCCCGCCGCATCCAACAACGCTGCTCCCCCCAAGGCTAAGGTCCTGTCTATTGGCGGTGCCAGCAACTCCCCCGCCGCTCCCAAGACCAAGGTTCTTTCCATCGGCACCCCCTCCCCCGCTCCCACCTCGAGCACGCCTTCTTCGACCTCGGGTGCCGCTACACCTGGAGATACCAAGGGTGCTGCCGCTGTTGAGGCGGCCGCTAAGGTGACGGCTTCCAAGGCTATCGAGAAGACTGAGAAGAAGGCCGATTCGAAGGCTGCCGCCAGCGGCAAGTCGTCCCCTACCCCCTCGGGTCGCTCTAGCCCTGGAAGATCCAGCCCTGCTCGCGGCGAGGCTGCCAAGGCTGCTCGTAACGCCGACGCTGTCGCCATGGAGCAACAAGCCGATGTCGATGAGGCTACTCTGAAGGAAATCTATGGTGAGAAGAAGGAGCATGTCAACATTGTCTTCATCGGTCACGTCGATGCCGGAAAGTCTACCCTGGGTGGATCCATCCTCTACGTGACCGGTATGGTGGACGAGCGTACCTTGGAGAAGTACAAGAGGGACGCCAAGGAGGCTGGTCGTGAGACCTGGTACCTCTCTTGGGCCTTGGATCTGACCAACGAGGAACGTGCCAAGGGTAAGACTGTTGAGGTTGGCCGTGCTCATTTCCAACTTCCCGTCAAAGCCGCCGACGGCAGCACTATCACGAGACATTTCTCTATTTTGGATGCTCCCGGTCACAAGTCTTACGTCCACCACATGATTGGTGGTGCTTCCCAGGCCGATGTCGGTGTCCTCGTTATCTCCGCGCGTAAGGGTGAATACGAAACCGGTTTCGAAAAGGGTGGTCAGACTCGTGAGCACGCCCTGCTTGCACGAAACACCGGTGTCAAGACCCTGATCGTCGCTGTTAACAAGATGGACGACCCTACCGTTGAGTGGAGCAAGGCTCGTTTCGACGAATGCACCGTCAAGGTGGGCAAGTTCTTGGAGAACCTCGGCTACAAGAAGAGCGATCTCTTCTTCATGCCCATCTCTGCCCAGAGGACGACGGGTATCAAGGACCGCGTCCCCACGGACCTTGCTCCCTGGTATGGCGGCCCGTCCCTTCTGGAGTTCCTGTCGGACATGAAGGTGCCCGAGCGTAAGATTAACGCACCTTTCATGATGCCCATCAGTGCCAAGTACCGTGATATGGGTACCATGGTCGAGGGTCGCATCGAGTCTGGTGTGCTTAAGAAGAACGGCAGCTGCATCATGATGCCCAACCGCACCAAGGTCGAAATTGCTGCACTCTATGGTGAGACTGAGGACGAAATCCCCACCGGTACCTGCGGTGACCAGGTCCGTCTTCGTCTCCGTGGCGTGGAAGAGGAGGATATCCTGCCCGGATTCGTGCTCTGCTCTCCCAAGCGTCTGGTGAACTGTGTCAAGACTTTCGAGGCCAAGATCAGGATTCTTGACCTGAAGAGCATTCTCACGGCTGGTTACAACTGCGTGATGCACGTGCACTCTGCTGTCGAAGAAGTTACTGTTGCGGCACTGCTGCACAAGTGCGAGCCCGGCACTGGACGTCGCAGCAAGCGTCCCCCTCCTTTCGCTGCCAAGGGTCAGACCATCATTGCTCGTATCGAGGTGACGAGCACTGCTGGTGCCGTTTGTGTCGAGCGCTTCGAGGACTACAACCAGATGGGTCGGTTCACTCTGCGTGATCAGGTAAGCAGTCATTGTCAAAGTGCCATTCATAGAACAATGCTCATATACAAAACCAGGGTCAAACTGTTGCCATTGGTATGATTACCAAGCTCATCTCTGCCGAAGAGGCGGCGGCGACGCAGGCGTAAAGTGTGAATGTCTTTTCATTATAAATAGCAGTCCCTACGGTGGTCAACGGCGATGTTTAACGAGCTACGACTGTCAGCCGGGAGGAATGGGTGGGAAAAGGCTCGGTGATGATATCCCAATAGCAGCCTGGTTTGGTTGTTGCTGATGATGATGAATTTTGATGTTCCGTTTATTCCTTTTTGCTCCTTTGCTCCTTTCCTATAGATTTTGCATTCCCTTGCTTGTTGGTTTTGCAATAAAATTCTCATTGCTATCATTTCACGCATTCTACTGCTTTTCATGATTTGGATAGTCAAAAAGATTCACTGCACGCATGAATCACACAGCTGTAGCATAGACAAACAGCCAGAATACATGAAACAAGGCGTCTATTCTATGGGGAATCAACCAGCACCAGCACGAACAAACAACTTTTAACAATACCAATGAAGAACAAACATTCCCATCATTAAAAGAAGAAAAGAATATAAAAAACAGAAATTTACCTCCTCTTCTTCGAAACAACAGTCATGAACCCATCCTCATCCACCTCAGGCTCAACCTTCTCCCTCGGCGCCCTCACCAACGCCGGCGCCGGCGCATCATCCATCTCCATATCCTCATCCTCATCCTCCTCACTATCATCACCATCCTCCTGGTCCTCCCCTCTCTTGAACCCCTCAATTCCCGAAGCAGCACCCTTCTTACTCTGCCACTTCTCCCACATCTCCTGGATGGCCCCGAACTCGCCCTTCTCCGTCTGCCCCTTCATCTCCATAATCTGCACGGCAACCATGCCGGCACTCTCATCATCCACCACGACATCGAACTCATCGTTCATCACCTGAATAAGCACGTCCTCGAGATCCTCGGCGTCCGTTTCGGGTCGCTCCTGGATCATCTCCGAAATGGCGCCGCAGAGCCAGTCGCGCTTGTCGGAGGAGGTCGGGCCGCCCCAGTTAGATTGCACGGCCAATGTGAGGGCTGGCCAGGCATTGATCGCGAGGGTTATCCCCAGGTCGAGGTATTGGGTTGCTGTTTGGGGGGGTTGTTGGGTGGTGGCCATTTTGGTTGTGATATGGTGGGGCGGGGTCGGAGGTGGGTGTAGTGGTGGTTGTGTGGTTGGTGGGGAGGAATTGGAGGGATTTGTTATTAAGGGGTTTGTTGGGAGTTGTTTCTCGTTAGACGTATGTGTAGATTGAGGTGATATTTATGTTGGAGGGAAGGAAGATTGCTGGTGGTGCTGGTCTGCGCCTGAAATTTTTTTGGATTTGGATGATGGTGGTTATCGGGGTGTTGATTAGATAGATAAGAGGTCATGTGATTGCATCTTACCATGCAGCGGAGGGAACGGATTGATTGATGTATTACAAGGTACTTGGTGATTGGGGACCTTGTAGGTTTAGTCTACGTGGATTGGGGATGTATATCTAGATATCGAGGACAGGCATGGGATAGGAATAATAATACTTATTGAGTGATGCATGTAGTTGGTTGATCTGAAGCGGAAGATGATGTGGTAGGTGGAGGGGGAAAAAAACAAAAAGAACTGTTTAAGCTCCGATAGGGGGAATCGAACCCCCGGCTGCCGTGTGAGAGACGGCGATGTTAGCCACTACACCATATCGGATTCTTGTTGAAGACAGCACGTTTATTTGCATAGATATCCCTTGGCCAATAGGCCCAAAGCCTTAAGTGATAGGTAGCGAATGTATGAAGGCACAATTGATGGTTACATTATATGTTGTTGTTGAATATTGCGGAAGTAATTGCATAGCACTCTACCAATTTATGCATTATCTTCATACACAGCAGTAATTTGGTGGGGTTTGGTTCTGTAAGGCTATACTATACCCGCATGATGGGGCTTGTGTTCACGATAAATAGGAACTCGAGATGCGTAGTGTCGGGCATATGGGTTATTGGCCTATTTGGGTGTGTATGTAGATGCTATCGGGGATCTTGTCGATATGGACGCATGTACTCGCCCTAGTGGTCATGACTCAGGACGTGCAATTATCATGATCCTACTACCACCCGAGCTGAAATATATATCGGCACCGGGGAGCAATTCGAAACGGAACAATTCCAGAGGGTGAACTAAGATCATACAGTTGAATTGACCCAGTATCTCAATAATATAGCACATTGCCATATGGTATTACATTGCTAGATTTCGCCATAAATATGTAAAGATGCATGCCCCGGCCTCTATTCCAAACCCATACTCAACATTTCCGCCCGGTCCAAATCCAAAACAATCCTGCGTAGTGGTATAACCTATTCTGCCCGAGAAAAAAAACAAACTATGTACATAAGTGAAGAGAAATCAGGTAGAACACATGAAGCAAGAAGCCAGCCGTGTTCCCCTAAACGCCACATGATCGCTCGACCCGCAGACATGGTATAATGCCAACAACATGAAAAAAGATCACAATGCATAGCTGAGAAGAGTTTGGGCTTTGATTGCCGTAGCCACATGCCACGGTAATGTGCCCTGCTGCACAGTGCGCGTACCCCTGGCTCTGGCCAGGGTTGCGAGGTCGCGATACATACCCAGAATCTCCCGTAGGAGAGTATCATATGAAGATGGGCAACGCCGTGCAAAGAGTATATTGACACTCATAGTATATAGGCCATCTCCATCAGTAGAGCCCTTCCTGCGAAGAAGGTACCCGCTTGCCAATGCGGGACGATACTCCGTCTGATGCAGAGAGCTGTTGAGACGATGTGATAACACTACCCCCCATGTCTCATCGTAGATATCCGTAAGGAGAGACTCGGAATCAACCTCCGGGAGGGCATCCGTTGGGGTGGAGGCATTCGCGGGTGCACCCCAGCCACCCGGGGGTGTGGGCGCGGTACCGAACTGGTCCGGCGAAGAGACACCGCCGCCGAGGTTCGGTGTAGCAACAGGTGTGGATGAAGGCTGCTGATTGAACATGCTGAAGGGAATGGGGAGATAAGGCGGCTCGAGATGTAGGTCAGGAGGAGTGGTCGCGCCCAAGATCACCAGATCCAGCGTCATGGACCTAGCCTTGCCGTACTGATCTGCAAAATTTGTCCACGCTTTTAATCTGTTAGCTCTGAACCGGCAAAAGATGGGGCGTACGCTTACTGTCAACCTCCTCCTGATCCACAGGGTCAGTGTTGACAATGATGACCTTCCAGCGCGTCTGTATCGTATCCATGATATCCCTTGTTGCCTTCCATATTTCACCCCGTACCTCCGGGAGAGGCCGAGCTGCAACAGAATTACGATAGCGAAGGCAATATGACATGTTCCGTTGAAGTGCCCCAAAGTTATCAGACCAAGCCACACTCATCCAACGTTGATCCAGACTTCGGGAACAAGCAATATGGAGATGCTTGCCTTCCTGCAGCGGCGACGAACCCTCCGATGACAGTTTGAAGCCAATAGATCTAGGTATAGGCTCTGCAAGCAATACCGGCGGTGCGCAATTCACCGGGCCCACCTCGGACGATTTAGGCGGACATCGGCTGTACACTTCGAGGGCCAGGTTCAAATATTCGGCCTGGGGAGGAACAACGAGAGATTCGGCCGAAGTAACAAAATCCATGGGGATTATCTGAAGAACAAGCTCGTTCAGCTGTCGTGTCTGTTGCTTGTCAGCTTCCGCGATGTATTGCTGGAAAAGAGACCAGAATGCAGCGCAAATATCCACCAATGATGCGGCGTGAGCAAAAGGATTCACTATGTAAACTACAATGTTGCTATCCTTGCTTGGCGGAGTACTCAAAAACGCAGACCCTATCTCAGTCAGAATAAGCAAATTTAACATTGTCGGATATGGCTTACCAAGCACTCCACAAATAGTCTTGAGTGACTGTATGGTCTCGGAGTAACGTGAGTCTGCTGATGGACTGATGTTCCAGGAGCCCAGTCCACGGTCGAAGACATTGGAACTTTCGCCGCGACAATGCTCGCCAAGATTGCAGCCTGAGTACACCAGTCCAAGCCGCTCTAAGAATGTGTCGGCTGCTCCAGCAGCAAAATGAGGATGTATGCAATAGGCGAGAATGTCCTTTTGCCCATGCGCAGGTTCCAGCCCGAAAGTCTCCCAAAAGAATATCGCCGGAGGTAGTGTCTCCAGGAAATCCTTCCCCCGGCGCACGCGCAAGTGCGGTGGGGGTAATTTCACTATGGTGCCCTTTCCAGTCTCTCTACGTTGAGAGGACTGACGCGGGTTGGCACCGTTGGATGACGAAGGCGAAAGCGCATTGGGATCTTGCAACGTAACAAAACTGTTCAGGTCCAGTCGCTCCATTCCGCTCACGAAAGCTGCATCACCTTGAAGAGTCTCGGGAGAGCACACCTCATCAGCATAATCAAGCAGACCAAGGGTTCCATCTATCTTATGGTCCAGAGATGATTGCGTCACTTGGTCAACCAATAACTGAGCAATTTGAACCTGTATGTCCTTGCGAATAAGCACTGGCGAGACTTGGTTCTGTGCCAGGGAGAAGTAGCCCGCCATCGACCAGTCAGAAAAGGTAGAGAGAAAGTTTCCCAAGAATACCGAGTCTTCCGGTCTCTGGGCAGCAGTTTCCTGACCAGTCCGGACAGTTGACTTGTCCTGGGATAAAGCCAACGAAGTTCCCGAATTGGAGCGAGTACGTTTCCTTTTTCTGGTGGAAAATGTGGCAGGTGAGAGGCCACTTTCAGAGGCACTCTCATCACTGTCGGCACTTACACTGCTGCTCATGTCCGAATCCGATGATGATTCTTGCATCTCCTCACTATAAGGGGATCCGCAATTGTCGGGATCCTTTGACGTGCCGCTTTTCATCTTTCCGCTGTGACGTGGAAGGCCAACAGTTGGGATGTCGCTTGTGACGGTGTCTGGCCCCTTGTTCCTTTCAATCCCACGAAGATTGAATCCAAACTTTCCATCAGCGCCGTATTTCTGGTCCCAGAGGGACATGTTTTGTTTGAAAGCAACTGCATTGTAGTAACCTGGCCCCTGCCCTTTCTTGGCAGGCCGTTGACTTTCAGGTTGCGACTCCGGGAACAGGATCTTCTTGACCTCCACCGGGCTCAAGGGAGGGCTTATTGTTCGGGGTTTGTTCTCCTGAGGCGTAAATACAGGTGCTTTGGCCTCCTGGGGAGTTTTCTCGGGCTGCAGGTCTGCTGTAGCGGCCACAGGACTCAACTGAGCACTTGCAATATTCATGGCTGGTGTCTGTTCAGGTGAAACCTGGCCGTCCACAGTTGGTTGGATCTCGGGCTCATCGGTATCCATGAACCCAGATAATTCTTGAATTGCTTCAGCCTGTTCGCCAACACCACCACGGTCGAAGTCTGGGTCGTCAAAGAAGCTGAAATCAGCATCGGTAATTCCTTTGGTGCCAAAGTCTTTCTCATTGATATCTCCGAATAAATCATCGTCGTCGTTCGTATCGTATAGGCCCGAACCAACCACAAGTCCTGCCGACGGGCCAAAGCTTATCACATCCGTTCCAGTTCTCTCTTTACTGAGTTGACGATGATGATTTTGCCTGTCCTGTTGCATAAAGTTCGAGCTTTGCTCAATGTCATCCGCGAAGGTATCGGAAGTAACCATGGGATTTAGGCCTGTTGCGGCGGCCCCATCAGGCGGTGTCGGGTATACAAGACTAGCAGTTTGAAGGTCAGGATACTGCGACGCTCGAGAAAGGCTTTCGATCCCATCGGGCAAGTTAAGTAGATCGGGAGATGATGCGTCCTGATCCCTAGTCGGCGCTTCTTGATGGACAGACGGAGGCTTAGGGCTCGCCTCGGCAAAGCTAAGTTTCTCTGTTACACGCCATTTCTCTGCGAAATCTAGAGGGTCACCAGCCATGGATGAGACACCTTCCATTTCACCATAGAACTCTGAAGATGCTGATTTCGTTCTCCTGAAGCAGTAAATAGCTGGCCAAAGAATCCGCTTTAGGGGAAGCATGGAAGCGCCTTCCTCGCTGGGCCGCCAAACTTCCCCAGCGAGTCTAGAGTAAAATGGTTCCCAAACTTCAACTTCAACCCAAGCTTCCTCATCGATGCCATCCACAGGAAGACCAAAATTGGAAAGCCACCAGAGCACATTGACCTTCCACTGTTTGCGAGTTGCCGGGCTGGACTTCTCATTCCCTGGACCCCCAACATTAGACGGATACGGGGATCCTGCGTTCAGCTGGGGCGGATTAGCGGCGACAAGTCTGGCAATCGACCCACTTGGAGATAGCCAGAGGTCAGTGCCCGGTGGAGTGTCGGGTATGCTCGCAGGGACTTCTTCCGGTGTGAGCAACCGCGTCAAGCCAGCCTGCGATACGGTCTGTAGAGCTACTGTTAGCTTTCCGGCAGATGTCAGCTGGATCTGAAGCGTAGTTAAGGACGGTGCCAAAGCAAGGTCGTTCTTGGAAACGTGAGAGTTGTCGCAGCCACTCTTTTCAACA